CATTTTTTTAAGGTGTTTATTTCTTTTAATAAAGGAATCATGTATTTCTTTAATATTTCAGTCAAGACATTTAGGTTAGCCCCTAGAAATTGACCCAAAAAGATTCACGGCAGCATTGCACCCACTGACACTGAAATTGTATTATGTGATGTTGCTTAAACAAAATTGTGATTTCGATTGTAGGTGCCATACTTCCAGCTTAGGGAAAACAATTGGACCCTCAATGCAGATGCTAATGGTAAATGGAATGTAAGGTTTGATTTGTAATCCTGCTCATTTCTGTGTTTTCCATGCCCACAGAAGAGACAATAATTTATGGTCATTCCTTGCGACGTTCATTTTTTGGAACTTTAATGTACGGTCATGGCATTTTAATGTTAGTCCAAGTGTTCTTTATTTATTTCTCTCTCCCGTCGTGTTTATGTTGAGTTTTGTTGGAGTAGGTGAGATCGCGTAATTTAAAGGTGGGTCAGTCTATAGTATTTTATTATCAGATAAACTGCAGCAGCAATGGAATGGAAATAAACATTTATACATTGTTTGTAAGAATAACATGATTTGTTTCATGAATAAATGCGCTTAAAAAAAGTAGGTAATCACTAGGATTCTAAAGGCCTATGCAGACAGGTCTTCAGTTTCTTCAGGGTGAATTCAATGATAGGGCATATCTTTTGTCTCGTGCCTCTTGTTGAGAGTACTTTCTATGTAAATGATTGGGAACCCTAAGGAATGCGGAGTATCGTTGTAGTTCTACGCTTCATTGATTCTACTTATTAACTGAATTAATTGATTCTTTCAAAGTTAGAGGAAGTGGGTAATAAAATGTGACCCTATTGACTTGATATTACGTCTTTCTACTCCGCATTGATCCAAAGATAAAACACTTGTCAACTCTTCTTTATCGCCACGTCATCAAACCTGTACCTTATCCAAGTATTTTCGGGTCGGATTGATCGACAGGATTAGGGAGTGAAAATTTGGAAGCTCCAGGTGACCGATGATGTTTTAAGTGCGGCCCCCTTTAAGTCAATTATTATTGTAGCTGCGGTGTCTCAGGGTGACAAGAATATCACCACTACTTTTTCGAGCTTCTTCGTCCTACTCGTCATTTGAAAAGTGTGGTACTGCTGTTCTTGCCAGGTGTTATGTTAGCCGCGCTTCTTGTCCTCCATCGTGGTTGCCTTTTGTTCGTGCCTTGTAGGTGATATTTCATATATCTTGTAGTTAATTGCGGACAGACCCCTTGTTCATCTATTATTGCATATAGGTCCCCTGAGCGTAAAAGTCTCATAAGGGGGGGGGGGGGGG